AGAAAACTGCCAACATTTCCTTATCGATGGTTCACTTTTTAAAAAGGTCATTTATTTCTCTCTAGAATGATGTACAAATGAGCGTTCTTGCTCATTTTGCCTCGGAGAAATGAGCAAAAACAGGACGGAAAACATGGAATTTTGGCATAATCTTACACCTAAGTATCTGATATTCAAATTTCGCATTCTGGGTCAAAACTACTCGAATTTTCTCACCCACGTTGTTACGACTGAATCGAGTTTTCAATTCTCTATTCAACGATGCCAAAACGAATTCTGTGGCTCGAATGGTTCTTGAGAAACTTCGAAAAAAGCAGCGTCATGTTCAAGTGGATTTTGCAACTCAAAAAAAAAACCACGCAAATTTAAAACTTCTTGAATTCAAGCATTTTTTGAGAAAACTGCCAACATTTCCTTATCGAGGGTTCACTTTCTAAAAAGGCCATTTACTTCTCTTTAGAATGCGCTGGATCCGCCCCTGGTTCCAATATAAAATTTTGCGCATTTGCCCCATCTATACATTTTGTTTCCACTTAATTTTTTCTGGGAGGAGAAGAACGTGTTTTCTTATGGAAGATAAGTGAATTTCAATGAGAGCAAACTGGTGGAAATCCGCATTTTTGCCAAAACGCCCCTAAAAAAAGGCTATTAAAACAGGAATTTTCTAGGGTGAGCGTATTGTCAACCGTGCACACGAGGGCCCGATATTCCAAATAATTATTACACATAAAGAAACAATATTTTAGTTAAAAGTTGATAAGTTACAATTACGTCATATTTCAGCGCAGACTGCACGATTACATACTGTAACATAACAATTAGCACTCCTGACTGTAAAATTAGTCTGGATTAAAATCCTGTAAAGCACAGATCACAGTCTCAAAGAGGACTCTCTCAGGAGACATGCTCAAAATCTAAATCGGCAGATCGTCGATACTTTTTTGAGTTTGCAACTGTTGCATTTGCTGCATCTGTTGCTGATTAATAAAGTTTTGTTTTACTATATTGCTTTGGCCCTGACTCAAAGGCGAATGCGTTGAGAATGCACTTTGGTTGGACATCACAACCAGCTTTTGGGACTGGCTTTGTATCAGCTTTGGTTGGTTGACTGTTTGGCCGCTGGACACCAGTTTAACAACCTGAAAGGGGCTCGATTACTCAATAAAGTGCAACTGGGGGAGTTGAGTACTTACGGTAGTTCCTGCGGAGTTCGATTGGCTGAACTGAGGATGTGAAGCTGTGTTTGGCTGCGACCGTTGCGGCATAAAAACGACCTTTTGTTGCGAATTCTGCTGAACTGATATCCTTTGCGACTGTTGACTCATAACGATAGTTCTAGTTGGCTGGTTGCCCTGCTCGACATCAGAAAAATTAGATCCGTTAATGATGTGGGTTAGTAGGAAATGCTAACCTGCTGCACGATTCCTGATGAAGTCATGGGGCGAGCAATACTTTGGCCCACTGAAGTGATCGCAGATGTGGAAACAACTGACGCCGCCGTGGAAACAGGAGTAGGTTGTGTGCGCGCCTTCACCACCGCAGCGTGCAAAGATATTCCCAAATATCCGAACTCCTGCTTATATTCCTCTAAGCTATCCGGGGGATTTCTAATGGTTTTTATAATGGGGGCAATTATTTTGATCAGCAGCTGCTTTATGTGGCCGGAGGCTGTTTTGTCCGTGTTCGTCGTCAAGTTGCCTTCCAAATGGGTCTCGATTCTCGCCCCTAAACAAGATTGAGCGAAATTATTTGCAATCTGTAAGTTGCGAGTCGAATGTGGAAATGACCACCATTTCATAAAAGCAAAGACAATAAAAAGATAAAATAATCACAGCCAGAAACTGCTCAGATTCTCAAAGGATGACTTATATGTATATAAAAATTGTAGATAAGTTCTACATTGTTGAGGCGGATTCATTTTTTTTACAAACTTCTTTTTGATTCTTTACAGATTGATAAATAGTGCTCCTATTTCGCAATAAGAACGAATTATTTATCAAAAAGTAATCAAGAACTATCACCTAGAGAGTATCCTGCGAC